AATATTGAATATAGAATGAAAAAGGAACTCTATTTCTTGTACGAGCATCATTACAAAGAAACCAATTTTAACTTTCCATTTTTCCATACAGATTAGATTAGTACTCTGCTTCATGAACAATTAAAAATACAGAGTTACTTTTTTAAATGCAAGGATAGATAAATTTGATGATTGTAGGATGATGTTAACTCTTATGCGCATAACTCTCTAATCTCAAGAAGTTCTTCACAATGCACTTTTCGTACCTTGCAACATATTATGCTTTTCATAACTGCATAGTAACTGCATTTTTATGACACATGACATGTAATGATATTTGTGTTGTTGCGGCCTTTCAAGGCTATGATACTAAGATCTTCCATGGTTCTTGGTCATAGTGGGAGTGACTGAGGACGTGTGACCCGTTGGATCTATGCAAATAGGGATCTAGAGTTGGTGTCCATAGAGTCACTAAATCCCAAATCATGAGGCTCGGTTTAAAAGCATTACACTGGAAGGATTTGAGGGTTGTCGGAATCAAGATTGGTGAGATCACCTCATGATCAATATGAGCTAGGGTATTATGATATCATGTGTATGTGTATGTGTATGTGTTTCTATGAGTTAAGCCATGTGTGAGAAGTATCAACTCAAAGGGGACATAAGCCAAATCCCTGACAATAATCCTACTCACAAAATGTGTATATTACAGTCACATAATGGGAAGCCATTCTCACTCAGAATGATCCACTAACAACAGACATGCACATGTGAGTTCCCCCACATCTCGAAAGTGTATTACTGGGAAGACCACCTGCAATCCACTATAAGTCTAGGACCTAGCCGTCTATTGGGTCAGCTTTGACGAGCCAAACATGAAGCCCCGCAAGAGAGTGCAGGTCATGGGTCCCATTAGGTTGGTTTTGAGAAAACAACCGGAGTTCCAAACCTAGCTAACTAGAGTGCCTAAATGGTTGAAAACAAACTCCTTAAGGATCGTAATTTCCCAAAATGATTTTTCCATATCCTAGGATTATTAAAAAGCAATGAAAAATGCTAAAAATATTTATGAGATTTTTCTATTTTTTCAAAAAAAAATTTAAAGGCATAAATTCCCCCATACAGCTTCGTTTGTAAAATCTCACCTAAAGATATCCTCCAGGAGGCCCAAATGGGCAGTCCAGATGGCTATTGATGTCAGCCACATGTCAACATTAAGGCTGACGTGTGGGTGACATCAAGCTAGGTTGGGACGTCCCCTCTTCTTTGTTTTGATGACCATTTTAGAATTAGTGGGTTTGTTGTCTCCACCCACAGGTGTGTGTGCTCTTGCAAATGTAGGGTAGATATTTTATGGGATGTCCTTTTCCATGATTAAGGGTTTTAGGACAATTCACAAAACTAGATCCAAAAACTTTATTGTGGTGTTTATCGCTCATTGCTTACATGTTTCTAGATATTTGAGGGCTATGCCCTCATATGGTTTTTTCTTCACTCTTTCTTCAAAAAGCAAAGGCAATTATGAGATTAGTTATTATTTAGTTATGGATTTAATTAATTTGAGAAATTTTGAGTGGTTTTCACACATGTGGGGATAAGGGTAGAAAAATCACAACACAACATCTATAATAGCTATTTGTGGGTTGGGTGGCTAGGATCTTGCCTCATTCCAAGCCCTTGATGCTCAAATTAAAGGGTCTAAATTCAATCGAAAATAATGGAAGCTCAAAAAACCCTTGCCTCTCTCTATAAATACCTCTCATTACCTAAGCCCAAAAACATGTTTAGAGTAAGAAAGACCCCAACGTCTGGAGAGAGAAAGAGAGCCAAAGTAAGCACGCCCCCCCATTTCCAAGTTCTATACTACTACTGCTATGGAGCATAGCATGAGGGTTGGTCTTAGAGCTTAAGAGGAGCCCTTTGGGTGATCTTTAGCACATACTTTCTTGCTGTTCCAGCCATTTTACAGCAAGGTAACATGTCTCCGGAATACCCTTCCCTTGGTTCAATTGCCTCGCCTTTCATGCATTGAAATGAGCACATTTTCTTATCATTCGGCCCAGTTTTTCCTTGCTGAACTTTCCTGCACTTTTTGATCCACTAACAACAAGATAATTGCGTTACCACCATCTTAAAAGTTAGTTTTTACATGGGGTCATAATGCCCAAATTTCCTCTTGAATCCCATTAAAATTTTCGTGCTCCATAGACCATAGTTACCCAATGCGATTCATAAACCAAATTGATTTAGGGATCGGAAGCGCGGAATTGCCGCCATCTGGAAGATTCCTAATTTCGGAATCGACATCCATACAATATGAATCATGGGGGACGAGATTCCTAGTTTTAGGAATCGAGATTCCACCAAAATATAATTGAGAACCCTACATAGATCAAATCGATATTCTTAGCTCTTCGAAATCAAGTTTCCGACCTAGTTGGTAGACCGAAATGGAATCGAGATGCCTTCATTTAGGGAATTGAGAGTGTGATACCATTGGAATCGAGAGGGAACCAAGAGGTGAAATAATACATGCCTCAAGGTCATTCATTGACCAAATGCCATACATGCACAATTAATGTAATTGTGTATTACATTATTCCTAATATATTAGAGTTGCAATCTCTCCATTGGATCAACACAATGCATACTTAAAGAATTATGTAGCGAACATGAACCACCACTTTAGTTTCTATTGGTCATTTTATGCCAAAAAAGATGACTACACCTTGTAGCTTGAGATTGAGGATCTAGCTCGAGTAGTTTGATGCCTTGAAAACTTTTAAACATCACTTCTCAGATAAAAGCAAAGAGAAAAATAAAAGGGGAAGTGGTAGAATTCTGGTAAATATGGAAACCAGTTTCAACGAGTGTAGCATCAAGATTCACCAATTGTGGTATCGAGAATCAGTAAATATTGAAAACCATATTCTATAAGCGTTGGAATCAAGATTCTTAAAATAAGGAATCGAGATTCTAGACTTCACAGAAACAGGTTCTGTGAAGATTCCTAGTCGGAATTACAGAATCAGGGTTCTAAATCAGAATCTCAACCTTCAGTTAGAGATTAGGGTAATTATGCCATAGACTATAATATGTTCCACGTGTCACTATCTCTTACACACTATTGCTCCATTTGATATCTCGATGATTGCTTGAGTTTTACCTACATATTTCATGCTTCCCTATAATTTGGATTGAGATTAGACCATATACATCTCATTATCGGATTTAGCAATCAAATGGGTTGTTGCTAAATCCTTAACCGGCAAACGGGTTTTGAAAAAGGCTCCCCATGTTAATGAGGCTATGAGTTAAACTTTTCCTTCAAAAAAAGAAAAAACATGTTAATGAGACTATGTGCACTACTTTGGGGATGTTTATGTAATTTCAGATTGGGCCATGTAATTTGTATTATTCATGATCTCATGTTAAGGGCTGTTTGTAAGTAATTTGTGGGATTATGGCCAATCTCTATGTTCTTTTAAGTGGAACTAATAAGGGGGCTGATTCGGAATCTTGTATGTTCTTTTAGTATTTTTTTAATTGCCTATTTGTGAGTTAAAGTGGCTTGAATATTGCTGTAATCTCAGTCTAAGGTTCTAATTTTGAAGTCTTTGAGTTGAAAATTAAACATTGTAACACTTAGAGCATATGCCTTTGATAACCCTACAACTTGTACTTATGTGTGTAAGCATGTGATATCAATTTAGTATGTCTAGTTTCAAGATATATGTTTAGTCAAAACAGTAGCTTACTAGGAGAGGTCAAAAGTTAGAAAGGTTGCTTCCCATGGAATCAAGCAAGTCCTAACTTAATGATTCCCATTATCTTAGCACACTGACTGATGCTGTCACACATCATAGAAAGATCCAAATGGAAGCCATACTAAGACCCTCTGGCATCTTAGATCCAAACAGAAGCCATACGAAGACCCTGCAGCATCTTGAGGGCCACCAGTGGCTTAAGACTTCTAATCTAAGCTCTAGGAGGTAAGTGCTTTCAAACTGAACTTAAGAATGACTAATCATAACACCAAGAGTTGATGTCATGTGAGATTCAAATCGCTCACCAGAGACTCAAACAGGAAGAAGTCTCCAACGACTATCAAGATGGGATTGCCTTCTCATGGATTTGTCCATCATTGCTCCCGCACTACTGCTTTCAAACTGACTTTAAGTATGACTACCATAACACCAAGAGTTGATGTGAGATTCACATGAGTCACAGAGACTCAAACAGGAAGAACTCTCCGACGACTATGAAGATTGGATTGCCTTCTCATGGATTTGTCAGTCATTGCTCCCGCACTTACACCTCCAACATTATCGGCAAATAGAACAAAAGAATCACTACAACAGAGAAAGCAGAGAGTCGCCACACAACATGTGCAACCTGTCTACTTCAACATGTATATTTCTGGAAGAGACTGACTCCACCGCATCCATATCTTTAGTGCCTCAATATCATCCCATGAAACCCCCTCAAGTTATATTTTGGCAATGGTTTAGTTAGTTGAAGTTCTTCCCTTACTTGCATAAGATTAGCGCTCTCTTTGTGCTTCACATGAGAGTTTTTCTCACTCTCCTTGTGCTTCACATGAGAAATTTTCTCATGAAACTTGCTTCATCAGATATTTACAAGTGTTGGAAGTTGAAAACCTCCAAATAGAGTCATTCAATCATAAATGCTGCAAGTCTCTATTAAGGAAATAATAGCATATTACAAAACTTAAGCTACATTATAGCTCCAAAAGCCATTTTAGACTTACGCTCAATTTCAAATTTAAGATATTTTATGGTAGGAGTTCACACTGAGCATTCATCACTTTGTACATCCAGTTAACATCAGTTGGTTTTGAAAGCATAGTTTCAGTGCAACATTTCTTGTGGGAATTATTTTAAGAGCAAGATCTGAAATTAGGAATTAAAATTGAAACTACAGCATGGTAAACCCTAGCATACTTGATTTTTCCACTTCTTAACAACATTATTTGAAAATTAATATGCATAGTTTATTACCTGCAAATACATCTTTCCTAAGTACAGTTCCTTTATCAAGAGTATCTCGAGATCCTCCATCGGTAGTATACCTAGAAACCCATGCAATACCAGCCATTAATACATTGATAGATTTTTTACTGCAATAAATTTTTAACCAAAGCAAAAGATCATCAATTTCTAAAGTGATCCAGAAAAGAATATCAAGAAGTCAAGAAATCGACAAATCCAAACAATGAAAAAATTTCATAAAGAATCAAGTTGATCCCCCAAGTACAACTTGAGTTAGCACAAGTTTAAAATTGAAAATTTCAGTTTCGGGCAAACTTTCAGCTTTATAATGTGAATATGATTTGAATATAACAGATAGCTCTGTATGTAATCATGTTATTATTGTATGATATTTTTTAAGACAGTCTTGGTTCGATGTTGCTCCATTGTTAAATGTGACTATGGAAATGGGTCCAACTGCCCCAAGTTTCATTCAATTAAGATGCATCCACTGAGATTAGAAAGAGGGAATCTATTTGTAGTGGAAGGAAAAGTATGTAATGGTAAGTGAAAAATTGTAGATATGATGTGACACTATAACAAAATATTTGCAGCACATTGTTTTCATTATGGAGATACAGGACGCTAACTTAAACTTTCCCTTAACCCATCTTTAGGCCTGGGTAAAAGAGGTGGGCTGTGTTAGGTAGGCAGCAACCGTAAAACTTTGCCAAAACTTTTCATGAATCCTGAATCTAAGCTATATGCTTATGCCAGAGCGTTGGTCCTTGATAGAATAGAATGGTGGACCAGGATTCGTATGGCCGACCCCAAATAGTTGGGAAAAGGTTACGATAATGATGATGAAGACGCTAACTTAAGTTTTATTTCCAACATTTTTTATTTGGAGTTAACTAGAAACTCTTGGTATTCAGGGTTTCTCGAATATTGACATAACTACTAAAAGAAGGCTATAAGAATTCGAAGTATTGTAAGTGAAGTTTTCTTTTTGTCAAAAGTATGCAAACAATGAGGAGCCTAGTAAATCACCAATAAAACAAGATTTTACCTTAATTTCTCTCAATAGATTAAAAAGAACAGAACCAGAAATATGGTTTTTTTTCCTTGATAATTTGAAAAAGCATTTATTTCAATCATCAAAAAAGATAAAGAGCATTTATGAAGTCTAAAGAACATCCTAATAAGAACCAAATAATGATCCCAAAAAGAGCTAGCAACTTGATATACAAGAATTCCTAACAGGGAACCATACATAAAGTAAACACCAGACTCCTACAAAGAGCACAAATCTACCACGCTAATCACATGTGGTTTTGTCTAGACTTCAGGTATCATATGCGAGAAAAACACACGTCTGATCAAAGAAAATTAACCTTGGAAAAGAGAAAAATCTTTCCATTTCTAAGAGTAAAAGAACATCTGAAACATAAAAGAAGACCTGAATGGAAGAAATTAGAGAAATCCATGCATTAGAATATGGGCATGGTATCACAATCGATGAAATCAAAGTAAAGCCTGAACTTGGGCATTATTTGTCCCTATTTTTACCTGAGCCCTGAAATAGTTTTTTCTGGCCATAAAATATGCCAAAATCACCCACAGAAATATGGGTAGTAAGGATGACCATCATAACATTGGATGAATTAAAGATAGGTACCATGCATGCAACTTGAGAACTGAGGAGTCCTCAGGAAATAGCCCATCAAAGAACTATAGCAATCTCTAATTAACCCCTTACTTGCCATAGATTCTTCACTGCATTGAAGAGCAGGTTACATTATCGGGGTGAGATAATAATATAATTGATAAAAGGCAGCAGAAGATCAGCCTTCCCCACCATGCAACACCGAAGAAATGGAGCTTAGAGAAAATTTTAACCAGAAAAAATCAAATGACGATGAGTCATATTGAAGACGACCCACAAAAGAGTGAGTAGCACCGGATGTCATATGGAGCAGAAACCAAATTTTTTGTTACATTTGATTCGAGTAAGAAAAATTGTTAACTTTCACTAAATAGAATTCTCAGCAAACATTCCATTTTATTCTATTCTGATGGAAATAGTTCGGAGTTTTCAAGTTTGCCTTATGCTTCCCACTGATTTTAAACATAGTAGAGTGCTACTTACAAAATCTATTTGAAAATGTAGAATTTCTATTCACATTCCCCCAACAAAATATCCCAACAAGCAGTGATCTAGTAACTCTATCCCCAAAGATTTTATCCAAGAGACCTCATGTCCAGGAAACTGTCAATTCTAAGTTCCAAACCACTTAGGTAAAGAAAATATGATCTTCCAAATCAGTTCTGACATAATTCACCCAATAAATCAATTCTAAGTTCCAAACCACTTAGGTAAACAAAGTATGATCTTCCAAAACCATTTGACAAGTTTCACCCAATAAATCAAGAGACTTGGCTGGTAAAGATTCTACAACACAATTGGGATTTACAACTAAAAAGTACATTGCACAAGGAAAGAATTTAACAAAATTTGAGCCCATCATTTGTAGTTTGGTAACTTAAAAAGCATATTGATCATCATTTATCTACACAATAAGTTAGTGAAATAAAGACCGCTGTGGGATAAAGAACTACTCACAAAATAACATCTTCTCCAAGATGTACTCGAGCCAAAGCAACTAGGTGATGAAGATACTTTTTGTCATCTCCAAATGATCCGTATTCATTTTCAACCTGTCCAAATAATCATGGACTTTCAGTTACCCAGGTATTAACAGGACACAACAAATTTTTTAAATAAGTAAAAATATAGGTAAAGAATTTCAATAACTAAAGGTCTATAAAAGCAAATCAACAATATATAGACATTTTCACTACTAACCTGAACCATAATAATAGGTCCACCATTATTATAAAGTAGTGGAACTAGCTTAGGAAGGAGATAATTCCACCATCTTTCAACCTGTAATAACTCCAATTGTTACGGGGCACATAGCTACATTTGTTTCTAAAACTAAGGAACTTTTTAAAACCCACCAAGAGCAGATATGCAAGATCAGATGATCTTAATCTGAGAGGAGGTTCCACAGAGAGTAACCAAGCGGGAAAGCCTCCAAAATCCCACTCTGTAAAAGAAGTTAGATTTAGTTGAGTTCCCATCGTCAGATAGAAGTGAGGAAAATAAGACAAAGAAGCAATAAACAAGATTCCATGAGTTGACAAAAAACATATGAACTCTTGAATTCTGGAGTTAAATCACTGAACCATTCCTTAATCAGCTAAATTACCTTTTCCTGAATTTTCATGGCAACAATTGAGGAGTGACAACCATGATACCAATGATTCCACTACCCATAAAATACCAATAATTCCAGAGAAAATATTTTTTCACAGCACCCAATAGATGCCATGGAACTAAGTATATGTCTTTCTACTATTAAAACATAATCACCTTCCAAGACTCCCCTTCAGAAAGGACTAATCATTCGTCTAATGTCATATGAAGCATATCTGATGTCAAGCACAGTGCTTAGAATTTCTCTAGGTTTTTGCAGCTTATATCAAGCAGTCATGATAATATGGTTTCTTAGTGCTTTGTATTTATTGCAGACGTTTTAAAGGAAACAAACAATATATATACTAATTTCTTTTAAATATTTAAATGGAATTCCGCTAGCTGTAAAACACCAAATCATGTATCTGTTGTTTTTAACAGCAAAAGAATTAGTACCATTGCCAACAATAGATATATTCCTGAGAAGGAAAGGAGACCAAAAAGAATTGGGAAGCTCTAAAATGTTAGATAGCTGCACAGTAAATAATTTCCACAAGACATACCACTGCTCACCTGCACATATATATGGTCCTACACGAAGCATGACAATAAATCCCATCTCATTAGCCAGCTTGAGATAGGATTCAAGATCTGCAACACCCTCAAATACCCATTTCCCAGGCTGAGGCTCATGCAAATTCCAAGGCACGTAGGTCTGTATAGTATTCAACCCAAGAGCCTTTGCCCTCAATAGTCTATCTTCCCAGTACTGCTAAGGAGTAAAACACCACATATAAAGAAACATGGAAATATAACATTTCAATAAACAACTATAACAATGATAAAGCAAACAAATAGGCCATGCGAAGAAGATTTTAAATTTCGTGTTTTTCCCAAATAAACATTTGTGAGCATCAGATCTTCCAGCTTCAAAAACCAGTAATTTGGAAAGCTGAGAGGGGAACCATTCGAGTACTTTAGACAACTCCCTGAAATATCGAAGCTAAGAACACTTCTGAATTGCAGAATCAGCTACCACTTTTGACATTAGAATTCCACGTATGTTACTTTAGGTAGATCTTCAATTGATTTTCCACTATATTATTTTTCACCAAAAAATGCTATTTTTCACAAAGTGCACTAGATCTATAGAGATCTCAGGTTTTTTTCTCAAATCTAATATTTTTATTTTTTTTGGCAATTTACTAATTTCATAATATTTTAAAACAAATATCCAAAAAATGGAGAAGGAAAAATCTAGAATTTTAAATATTTATTATTTGATTCAAAAATCATTGTACATGGAAACTCACATTTTATCCTTTTTCTCTCCCATTTTTCCTGATTTCTCATGAATTTTTCTTATTTTTAATTTTCTTAAAATTGATGTAAAAAAAAGTAGGAAAGATATACCAATACAACTCAGGAATCGGCAAATACAACTCAGGAATCGGCAAGTCAACAAGCCTCAGGCCCTTGGTGAGTCCTGGGACGAGTTAGAGTTTTTTTAACAATATATAGAACAGCAACATCGTAAATTCCAGCAATTCCCACCAGAATCTCAAAAAAGATAATGAATCAAAGTGTAGCTACTGAACCAAAATTCAGTCTAGAGAATCACTAGGATTCCATTGAGTGGATAAATTAGAAATTAGGAAACAAGAAAAGCAATTGGACTAGAAATTTGACTCTGAAATGCAAATTGAATCAAGTTGGATAGAGATGGCAAGTGGACAATTTGATCATCCTAAACTGACACTTCAACAACCATTTATAACAGCAGGGCTATCTAAAGTATGAACAACAGATAAAGCAATAGAGAGCTAAGCATGCGTGCTCAAAGAGTAAATAAGCCCATATAAAATTATATCCAGATCTGAACATTCTAACCTCTGGAAGAACTCGAAAATAATGTACATCACCACCGATTATACGATATGGCACATTATCCTTCCAGAACATATCATTGGAAATCCAGAAACCTTTTCTGCTGACCTGCATATAAAACACCAGTGAAACACGTATCTAAAGATGATAAATGTACATGAAGTTTCACTTTTGTATACAATTTTATAAGATTGGTTGATTGACAAATAAGCATGAAAAGCTTGAGATCACTACCCACTCAGCCATGACTTTATTTGAAAGTGCAATTGCTCATGCATTAATTGTGAGTGCGTGTGCAACTCACCAAGAAAGATTGGGAAATTTGAACTAATACGCGTAACAACCAAAACAAAAAGTGCAAGAACATCAACACCCATGCACATGAACTGCGGGTGGTAGGAAAAAAAACAGCTGAAACTTCCAGATCAAGAATGACAGTCTTCACTGCTAAATAGATAAATGATGCTTTATTCCCAACCAAAGAACTAAACCAGCACCTGGGAAGTTTCAACAGCCCACCAATTATCAAGGTTCAGTTGAAGTCTTCAATAAGGTATCACAATACGAGCCAGCATTTTCAGTTCATGCAAGATGTTGCCTTCTTTTAACTGCTTAAAAAGATAACTCACTCCAAAGTCAAAGATCCACCATTAGAGAACTGATGTTGCATCCGCTCACCAGTCATTTAACTCCAGCTAGAAATTTAAAAAATGCAACAGAAACCAAAAAAGATATCTACAAATGAATATGACTACACTTGCTACATTATCCAGGTCTCAATAAATTACAAGCCCGAGAGATTGGTAACAAGGTAAAACCAATGCATGACAACAAAGAGAGAGAGTATGAAACAGTATATAACAAGAAGGAATCGGGCTTGGGTCAAGGCGGTAGTAGCTGGGTTTTCATAGCACTACGTCTCAAGTTCCATTCCTATGTATCCTTGTCAAAAAAAATAAAGTATATAACAAGCCAGCACATTCAAACAACCGGTCAACATCATTAATAAAAGAAAACCTTTATTGAAGGTATAAAATCAACATAGATAAAGACCATTTTATGAATTAGAACACACCAAAGGCGACAAATAGATACTCCCGTACCATCACCTGCATTCCACAGTCACAGTGGATATACAAAGCATTATAGAGCCCCGATAGACCGCCCTAAGAGACTAGCTTTGGTACGAGCTTGATAGAATTAGAGATTTCGATCTACCCCCATGTTGCATATGGGGAGATCTCAATGCTACCAGATTGTCTTCTGAAAAGAAGGGGAGACCAAGTCACTCCTAGAAGGGGAGACCAAGTCACTCCTAGAATGAAGGCCTTTTGCTTTCACAAGGAGAGAAACATGATGGAATTCTCCCTCCATAGAGTCAAATCCACCAGGTGTATCAATTAACAACAGTGAAAGCACTGCCCGGAACAAACTCAAGGCATTCTTGTCTCTCCAATTGCGGAGCTGCTTTCCTACGCAACCACTCCAGAGTCCTCCCTGAGCTCATACTAGAGCGCCTTCTCATTCTCTTAGAACCATATTCAGTCAATTCTGAATACCAAAAGTTTCCATTTTGAGCGGATATGGCTACAAGATAAGAGCCTACACAGTACCCGAAAATGGTAGCACTCGCTTAACTCCAAAATGCACCTGCTTCCAAAATTGAAAATATTGCAACTTCTTTAAGGAAAATTGCAATCCTAAATAAAGAAAAATTTGAGCATCTACGATAGAGAAACAGCCATTGCATTTGAAAACTCCAGAGCTTACAAAAAATGAAGAAGTTAAGGGATCTTCTAGATGACAAAAAACATAAGAACAGAAGTGAAAAGGAAGGATCAGTATGCACTAAGACGAGAGGAAATCACATTGCACCAGTGGTCAAGATATAAGTGACTAAAGGAACGAGAAAGAATAATTTGTTTCTTTCGTAGCCAGTTAACAACTGATGTGTAGTAATGAGGTCAAAGGAAAGCATTAAATCAATCAAGAATGCATTGACAGGGTCATCAACAGATTCTTAAGAAATTTGTTTAGAACAACTCCACTTCACAGACCTCCAAGAAAGACCATATCCTTTTCTGTCCATTTGAAAGAAAAACGAACTTACCTCGGAAGGCATTTCGAGGAAAAAAAGTGTGGAAGTGTATCACCAAATTAGGCCGAGAAGGAGCCATCGAACCTGATGGCTTCCTCATTACCATCTTTCATAAATTTTGGGCCACTGCACATGTTTTTTAGTTTCAAGGTATAGTTTTAGTGTTAGGGTTTATTTCTAGGGTCTTTTAGTTTTTTAAGAATTCCAGTTTTGTATTTTTATATTTATTTCATGAGTATTATTCCTAATGCCCACATTACATGCAATAGATTAGGTGGTGCACTCCCACTAACACCCACATTATGTGCAATAGCTTTGGAAGTAGAGGAGAGAGAAGAAAGAAGAGAGACGAGTAAGAAGTACGGGAATTAAAGAAGAAGAGAGTTGAGGATTTACCATATGGACCAAGTCCTTTGGTCTATCCATCGCCATCCTCCTATCTTCTACGGCCTCCATTAATTATGTTATCTCGTCAATGGAAGAAGGAGCATCTTTAGCAACCAAATTCGCCACAAAACTCTCCCATGATAGAGAAATCGAGAGGATGAAGAGGGTCTTGAGTGTGGTTTGGTCAAATGCAAGGCCGGCCCTCTCACTCTCCGTCATGCATTGCTTAAACTCCCTTAGATGATCACCGACCTTGGTATGATCATCTAGCTTACATGTTGGGAGGTTCCTCATCCTCATTATCCTTTTGGCTTCATTAGGAGAATCAAACTTTTTCATCATGTCATCCATGATTTCTTTTACATAAGTATATTCCTCATATTCTTTAACATAAGTCTTATTCATAGTAGCAAGTATTATGTTCATGCCACTTGGTTCTCTCGATGCCAAGTGTCATAAGCATCTTTAACAACTTGGGAAGCATTAATGGATGGCTGGTTTGGGGGTCTTGAGGTCAAGAGGGGTGTGAGTTCATCTTCATGAAACAAATAGCTTTTCCTTCTCCACTCCGGGTAATTAGAACCATTAAACCGTTCTTCTTTAAACAATTCGGTCAAAATCGACCTAGTAGCCATGGTTCCCTAATTTGGCACTCTATGTACTCACTTATGACACAAAAACATATAAAAAAGGACTGCCAAAGAGCCTTTGCTCTGATACCAATTGATGTGATGTCGAGTTTCGGGTGTGGTCAATGGCAATGACTAGAATGAACACAATTACAAAACCTTGCAAAAAAATTTTGCACATGCAAGTGCAAATTCACAATTACAGCCACTTAAATAACCAAATTGAACTCCACAAGACTCTAATATCAACTCTAAAATGAAGATTACAATTCTATGGAGTCCCAATTACAAGCTCGTAACCATTACATACTCAAAACATCCAAACTATGTCACTTTATGATGACATTTTTACGTGGACAGCACTTGTACTTTAATTCACTTTCAAATATATAACACAACTCAATTCAACACAATTATAGATCATACATAAAGACAATAACAGTGAGTAAAATGCCAAACCAAAGTGGCAAAGCCAAAATTTTGAACCCTTTGTGCCCCTGTCATAAGGCAAATCTTTTAGAGACTTAATTTTGTCCCATAATCTAGAACATAGATGGTTTTAAAGCTCAAGGAGATCACTTCACTTGGGAAGCTTAATATCAGTTCAAAATCACTTTAAATTCACTTAACAAGGTTCAATTAGAGAGAGAAATAAGTCTGAGATCAGGTTTCCAAAGTTCGCGAGAGATCCAACACAAAACTAGCAAACTATAAGCATACCACACAATGTGGACCAAGGGATCACCAAAACATTTCTCAATGATAAATGGCATTCACAAACCCCATTTTTCTTACTCAAATATGATATTCAAAATCATAGATGTATTAGCTCAATAGGATACTTAGAGAATTCAGATAAAGAACGACTAGAGAATAAGAAGTGTAGATCAAAGAGTGTTCAAACTACACAACCCACAATCAAGGTATAGACTATATACTATTCAATTTGAGCATAAGGATGCAAAAGCTTCTGCAAAATCTGACTTATAGCAAGCTTTTTAGAACAAAGTAAGATAAAATGAAAATCGGACTTGATTAAAGTAAATACCTTGATATGCGAGAAGAAGCTATTGAACTTCAAGATGAAGATGAGACACCATGCGAACTTCTATCTCAAGCTTTCGAGTGGATTGGTTCAGCCAAAAGGGAGGTTCGTGAGGCTCTAGATGGGCTCTCTCTTTCTCACTCTAAATTTAAAATTGTTGTATTAAGTTAGAGTTGAACTGAACCTTTAAGTGATATTTATGTTTGATTGTAACGTGTGAAGTGATTTTAGCCCTTGGTGTTCAGTATTCTAGATCTATGGCACATGAGAAGCTATAATTCTAGCCACTCATCCACATCCAACCACCAAAATGTAGGGACAAGATTTAATCACCTTTATCACCCATTTAACCTTAATTTAAATCATTTAGACTTTGGTCCATGTCCCATGGTTTATTTTCACAGAGGTCCAATGTAGAGATTTCATAAAAGCCCTTATTTTTCAATGTTTTAAAAAACGGTCCGCCTGGCGCCTAGGCGGCCTGGACCAAAAATCTGCCCTCCTAGACCCAGTCGGCCCTACACAAGCGGATGTACCTGGGCGGGCGCCCAGGCGGGCACCTAGGCGAGCGCCCAAGGATGTAAGGCGTTTCTCGTTTTTTTAAAACTATCGGGCACGGGCACCCGAGGTTCTGACACCAAGCAAGCCGTTTAGGGACCGCCTAGCGCTTTTTGAAACCTAGTTATTTTTTATAAAATCACGAGACTATTTAATGGACAAGGGCATGTCCATTTTGGTAATAAGTAAAATCTCACATGGGGAAGGAAAAAGCTTATTACACCATCAATAAAATTTCTCTAATCACATGTTCCTCACATGTTCTTCACATGGCTCCAACCTATGGGATAAAGCCATGTGAAGAACCCACACATGCCTTAATATCCTATGTGGAAAAAGGCTTTTAATTCAAATTATTATTCAAATAAATTGGCATCACACATGCTAAGATATGTCACAAGTGTGGTAATGGAGCATGTGACAAAATGAAAATTAAAAACCATATGATATCACATTTCAAAATGTGACATTGAACAACACATGGCTTAATTCAAACAAATGACATAAGGTCAAAAATGCCCCAACGCAATGGGCCTCACATCAGCCTCCAAAGGGATTGTGGGGGTGCCACGTGGCATCCCTATGGCCATTTGGGACCCATGTGGCATTCCCAAGGGATGTCCTTAATGGTCACTTGGGTGAAACAAATACATATGGATCATATTTGGGGTTTTAAAAAATCCAAAAAAACCTAAAAAAAATCAACAGTGATTTTTAATCATTAACACACCTTTTATGGTCAAAAATAAATTAAATGAACCAAAAGTAATGAGATCTCTAGGTTTAACACTAGGTATTGGAGTACTCCATTGGGCTAGTCCTGAACATAGTTGTTGGCTACGGAAGTGGGATCGGGAGAGGGATCGATTCGGGAATCGTCGAACCACACTATTGTGTAAGTTCCTTTGGTTTGGGATCGACGTCCGTACAATCAACAAGAGAGGGAACGAGATCTTTAGGTTTATGGGAGCGAGATCCCATATCGATGAGTTCGAGATTTTGACTAGTAAGAATCTAAGCTCCACTACACATTAAACGAGGTTGTCAAGTAGAGCTAGTACGGGTTCCCTTGGTTAAGGGATCGAGGTTTCCGTTCATCATAAACAGGGTTCCTCTTATTCTAATATCGAGATTCTTCAAGTATAGGAATTAAGGTTCTCAGTTGATTGGCCCCAAGGTCCGCAACTACCATTGGTTAAGGGAACGAGTCCAATATGTATGCTATCCTCTAGTTAAATAAATCTATAGTGCCCCATTTCTATACATCACACGCTTATATGCTACTTGATAAATGCAAAATACTACTTAACACTTTACTACATATATACATAGTCCATGCTTCAAAATCCAATATGTACACATGAGCGTATGACAACCTCTAATAAAATAAATCCATAGTGCCCTATTTCTAAGCATACATGCTACTTGATGCATACATGCTAACTGATGAAATATATAATCTATGGTCCATAGTCCAAAATGTAATATGTATGACATCCTATGTTTAAATAAGTCCATCAAACCATATTCTTATGCAACACATGCCTATATGCTTGATAAATCTAAAGAGTATGGATTATTTTGCTACTTAGTCTATGGTCCTTAGTCTCTAATGTGTATGACATACCCTATTTAATTAAATGCATATTACTAAAATTTGATACATCAGGTGCCTATAGGCTACTTGATAAATGCCAAAAGTATAGATCACTCTAGATAGTCCATAGTATAATTATGTACTCCATTCCTATATATACTCCAAATCCTATTAGAGGTATAACTTTAATAACATAGTCCATGGGACCACCAAGAGATTCCTTACACAAAATCCAAAAAATAAGCCTTGGACCCAATTCCCCCTCCCTCTATATTAACCCTTGGACCCAATTCCCCCTCCCTCTATATTAACCCTTGGACCCAAAACCAGCCCACACGGCTCTTTCGCCATTATCTTGTGGTGATCATTCTGGTAAATATGGTCGCTCCTCCCAACTCTCCCACACTATAGGTATGTGCGCTTGTGTTCTTTCCCTGTGTATTTCTGTGACTCTTGTATGTGTATAAGAGAGAGGGAGAGTTGAGTGTGTGTGTGCGCAGTAGAGAGAGGGAGAGAGAGGTGTGTGCGTGTCTTCGCAGTAGAGAGAGAGTTGTGTGTGTGCAGTAGATGGAGTTGTGTGTGTGTGCATAGTAGAGAGAGTTGTGTGTGCGCGCAGTAGAGAGAGAGTTGTGTGCAGTAGAGAGAGGTATGCATAGGAAGTGAGTGAAAGGGAAGGAGAGAGAGTGAGAGTGGAGAGATAGTGACGAGATGAATGCTTTTTTGTTGCTTTTCGTGTATATATTTTGTGATTTATACCATAATCAAGTATTTGGATTGAAACACAAATGTTTCATGGGTTTCAATGCATTGAATTTCTAAGATTTATGTGATAAATTTGGATTTAGGATCAGAATATGAATGTTGTGTTGGTTACTTTGTCTTGATTTGACATTTTATTGGATAATCTGGTCTTTGTTCAGAGCATGAATACTGAATTTGTTGCTCTGTTATAAAACTTGCCATTTGCATGAATACTAAATTTGTTGCTCTGTTCTAGAAATTGCCACTTATATAAAAAGGGGAGAGAGAAAGGTGTAGGAATTGAGAGAGAGACGTGTAAGAATACTGTGGAACTAGATTCATCAGTTTTTTAAAGTAGATTCCACATATATGGAACCCAAGATTATAATAATCCAAAACATTGGACCATGTTTGATGGGGGCAGGAATCTATTTTGAAATAATACTGGAATCCACTAGTGGTTGGAACGTGATCCTCTTTATTTGGGACCAAGATTCCAAAATTTTGGGACCGAAATCTCGAAATTTTGGGAGCGAGATCCCAAAATTGAAAAACCGGGGTCCCTATGAGATCCTTTGGAGGAACCGTGGGATCGAGGTTCCGGAGCAAAAACGCCACCCTACGCCCATGGTTCCCTTAACTATGGTCCTAAATGATGGTCGACATTGTTTCAAGGTGACCTAATAGACATATGCTCTACAGTCTATGGCAGGGACACATAATTAGTCAAATCAAAGTCACCCTAACTAAGCTTACCATCATCGGGTTCTCAATGGATTACAAGTGCACCCTCGTGGGACATGTAAGTGCTCTAAAACAGGGGTCCTCTCAAGGCACATGTGCACTGACCCTTTTAAGTCAGATTTCACTATAAAAGAGTGGCTTCCCATGCGAATGTAAATGCACATGCCATGGAATGGTCTCGTGTCAGGGTACGGACTTATGTCTCATAAGTCATGATCATTTCATACAAAGCCGATACTAAGAAGTTACTCAGGTTCTTATGTACTTGATTGGTTCTCCTAACCCTAGCCATTCACACAAATCATGAGGCATTCCTAAATCTAAAAAGCCTTGACTCGTCGGTGACCTTCACACCTCCGCAAGATTGCTTGCTCAAAACACAAACACTCATTGCCTGATGTTCTAGGGGTATATGAATCTGGGTCCTAGTTCGCAAAGCACTCAGATTGAATCTCTCTCTCTAACTCCAACTGAGCGAAAGAATCTTGGCTTTAAGGCCTTGAAAGGCCACATAGCCAATAGTTAAATTAAAAGGCCAACTAGCATAAATTCTTACCAAGGCTGCAGGGAGACATTAACTACAAATGATCTTAAGCAAGTTGGGCAATGATAAATATCTATGCACTAACTTAAGGGGCAGTTGATGCAGATAAAAATTTAGAAAGTTCACATAGATAAGGTAGGGCGTGAGTATTAGTAGGATCGGGGATATGGTTAATATTGGGCAAAGGATTTAGGCCTCCTATTTTGATGGATTTGGGAGATTTACCTAGAGATTTATAGGAGATTTTGATAGAGATGAATTTATAGGGAAGATAAAGATTGGGAAATTTTGGTCCGTGAGGATATAGGAAAATAGGGAGGATAGAGAAAATAAGGGGAGAGAGAAAATCGGGAGGGAGAGGTGGCAAGTGAGGTTAAGAGAAAGAAGATAGGGTAAGTACAGATTTTTTAGAGAGCTTTATTTTATTTTGAGTTTTTTTAGTTATTTATTTATTTTATTTGAAGTGTATTTAAAGGGAAGAGGTCCCTCATTGTAAACAGATCAGAGAATGAGAGTTGAATAAAGTTGATCTTGTTATAAGATCTTTTTGGAGTGGATTCCCTTGCAAACCTTGTTTTTAGGTTGTTGGGGTGGATTCCCGTGCAGAGCTAGTTTTTAGGTTGTTTTTGGGGTGGATTCCCTCGCAGACCCTGAGAGAGAGTATATTCTCTCACCCTTTGTTTTATTTTTATTCAATTGTAGAGAGAAAAACAATCAACTAAATAAAAATAAAACAAAGGGTGAGAGAATATACTCTCTCTATAAGGGTCTGCAAGGGAATCCACCCCAACAAGAGAATATACCCTCTCTCAGGTCTGCGAGGGAATCTACCCTAAAAACAACCTAAAAACAAGGCCTGCAAATGAATCCATCCCAACAACCTAAAAACAAGATCAACAAGAGAATCCACCAGAAAAATAAGGTCTATAAGGGAATCCACCCCAAAAAGATCTTATCACAAGATCAACTTTATTCAACTCTCATTCTCTGATCTGTTTACAATGAGGGACCTCTTCCCTCTAAATACACTTCAAATAAAATAAATAAATAACTAAAAAAAAAATCCAAATAAAATAAGGCTCTCTAAAAAATCCGTACTTCCCTTATCTTCTCTCTGAACCTCATATGCCACCTCTCCCTCCCTATTTTCTCTCTCCCCCTTATTTTCTCTCTCCTCCCTATTTTTCTAAATCCTCACACACCAAAATTTTCCAATCTTTATCTTCCCCATAAATCCATCTCTATCTAAATCTCCTATAAATCTCTAAGTAAATCTCCCAAATCCATCAAAATAGGAGAGACAAAATCTTTTGCCCAATATTAAAACAACCATATCCCCAATCCTATTAAAACTTATGCCCTACCTTATCTATGCGAACTTTCTAAATTTTTATCTGCATCAGTAGTGTTGTGAATGACTAAGGTTATATCAATTTCTTCTTGTATTCCATAAGGAGTTTTTTTGTCTTGTCCCTTAAGGGCAATTTTGTACTGACTTCTAATTATTAATATAAAAGAACATAAGTAGGCGGTGGGGGCAGTGGGACCAAACCGTGACCCCTCTCTCCTTTTCTTCTTCATGTGACTCTCTCTATCTCACCTATCTTTCTATCTAACTTTCTCTCTCTTCCTAGATATTAATCTTTCTTATACTCTTTCATCTGTTAGAATGTGGGGTCACAGAATGTGAGGTCACGAAATGTGGCCTAATTTACATCTGATAATCAGCCAACTACTCCATTGGCATGCAGCTGTTGTAAGGGTATTTCCCCACCATTTTTGGACTTCGTGTACTATTCAATATACATATTTAATGCTTGATGGTATTGGAAAGAAGAAGAATGTATCATTAGTTGTGAATAAAATCTTACAAAACGTACATAGAACCACTCATTTGTCCTCAATCTAATGAGGAAGCACATAAATAAAAGACAGCTAGTGAGGCCAACAATGACATAGTTTGCCACAAATTTTATCACATTTCGAAATATGTTGCATCAAAAGGAAGGCTTGAGAGAGATGATCACGTCGGGTGGTTTGGATTCTATATGGGCAAGAAAGAGGTCAGAGGGACATGGTAGACTTGATTTTGAGTAGTCAACTTTTTAATGCAGGTGCCAATGTAATTAGAGTAGTAGAGCACTTGGTGAAAGTACAGAGAATTGATGGCAGCGACACTAGGCATGTCGTGGATAATATTTACGATGCAATGGATGGGGCCAAATAGGATATTTCTGCAACATTTAAGTATAGGAAGTCCAAGCACAAGCCATTTTAGGAGATTATAGATATGGAATAGGAAATTGCATCATTTTTTACATCCAATTGCTTTTTGACTCAATCCAAAATTCTTCTACAACAGCGCCACATTTCTAACACATCCTATGATTTCAAAGAGCTTGAAAACATGATTGAGATCTTGTATCCTGATAGGCATATGCACGTGAGGAGTGGGAAGGAAATGAGTTTGTACACGAAGGTCTAGTGAGATTTGGGCAAAAATGGCATTGACCACTTGCGATGATATCTTCCTGAATAACTCGTTTTATTTTTACCCTCTTAAAGTTTAATATGAAGTATAATATCTCGTGCTTTTCTAATTTTATTTGTTGTTCATTTTTAATTGAATGGTGGGAATGATTTGGTGGGGATGCTCCTATCTTTCAAAAGTTCACCGCATGTGTCCTTTAGCATTCTTGCAATGCAAATGATTGCAAGAGGAAATGAAGTATATTCCAATGCATCCGTACAGATAGGTGAAATGGATTGGAGAATAAAAGCCTCAAGGACAGTCTTTGAGCAATAAAACTTGAGGTTGAGGCAAAGATAATAGACGCTTATACCATTTTTCTAGTTCGTAATTGTAAACAGTATACTAAGTACAGTTTGTGCTTCTCAAGGTTCTAAGCTAGTGTAATGTGGGACCATTCAAAGATGCAGGTGCTTAGACCCAAATGACTTAGACAAGATTAATATTGAGGAAGAATAGGTTTTGAAGCAAGAATACCCAATTCTCAAAGCATTGAAGAGCAATTACATACTAGATGGAGATGGAACCACCACAAGAAGGTAAATATTAAGTTTTCAGTTTTAACTAAGCAATTGATTTGGAAATTTGGACATTTTAGGACTTTAAATTTGTAGGATCCAGTGGTTTGTTAATAAATAGTATCTTAGTTATATACAATTTTTCTCATGGAGCACATGATATAGAGGGTTCGGTGGAGGGGACACCAATGC